AAGGCGAACAGTCAGGGCTACACAAGCCTCAGGCGAAGACGAGGTCAAGGATGTGTGAAGCCTCTTGCCGGTGGCGCTCTGTGACGCCTACGGCGGGGGTGCACAGCGGCTCGCGTCCTGCGTACGACACCTGCGGCACAAATCGCCCTTAAATTTGCCGTCCATGTATATTTACAGCGTCATACTCCTCAAGTAGAAATACAAAAACATTCAAAAACTCAAACTCATTATATAAAATGGGCAAAGTACGTACATTTTAAAGCCTGATCGAAAGCATATCCAAGTAGGGATATTAACTTAGATCTAAATTATATTTGCAATGGAAAAATAATGAGCATTGAAAAATAAATGAGAGAATCATGTAGAAAAAAAATTCGTTTTAACAAGGCAAGGGTAAATTTTATTCCTAAATAGAAAGTTGATAAAAAGTTCCCGAAAAATTTCTAAACGCGAGTTCAGAGGGAGTTCCGCGCTGTACGAAGGTTTGTACGGTTTTCCTAGCAGTATCATACTTTATCTTCGAAATTATCTTATGGATTCAGGGTGACGGGGTTCAGGACTACGGAGTTCGAGATGACAAGAGGATAAAAAACAACTGACATCAAATTTCATTCAAAAATAACAAATTTTAATTCGCTTCAAATTTCAAAACTAGAGTTTAATGGTAATGCTGTAACATATATAGGTACATTGCAAAAATGATTATCTTTTAATTTTAGTACTTTAGATTAGATTAAATTCGTGCTACTGAGCGAGAAAAGTCTGTGCTGAGGAGAGCATCAANCGATCAGCTCTTTGCGCAACGAGCTCAGTTCATTACTCAAAGAGCCAACTAAATTACTCAACGTGTTCATCTCTTTCCGATAATTGTTTTCCATTTCAGCTCGAAATGCTGCGAACAGAGCGAACCAATTCTCTTCCATCTGCTTTTCGCTTTTCCTGGCACGGAGAGTCGGTTTCTCGCAGTCGCTAAAGAACCAGTGAAACGACTCTGTTTTCTGTAGGAAAGAGTATTCTTCAGAGCTCAGCTTCGCGCAACTGATGCAAATTAAATACTCGCAGTGTTCACAGATGACCATCTGATCATCTTCTCTCAACGAGGTCTCTTTGCAAAACTTGCATGCATCTTCAACTACGCACTTCGATCTCCTGTTCGATTTTTTCGGTGCATCTTGTTTCGAAGAACCGCATTCCTTCTTAACAATCTTGTTTACTTTCTTCCCAGCCATCGAAATATAGTTCATATAGTTATCGTCGTAGTTATATAGTTATCGGTAGATTTTGCCGATGGAAGGTTCTTTTAGGATTACTAGGACAGCAGCACGCACTCCTCGACCATGAGCCAAGAACAATGACAACTCACATGGCTCACCTCAACTACGTATAAATGGCGCACGGCATTCCCAGGCAGGTCCCACACTTGTAGACTACATACGTCGGATGACAGGACGACAGACGTCGGGTGACAGGACGACAGATGTCGGATGACAGGACGTCAAGCACAGTACTATGCCGCCAAATCCGTGGCTCAAAGGTAAACAGAAAGCTTAACTAAGACTATTCGAAAATACCCTAACAGAAATACGTGAACAGGTTGCTGATTGGCTGTAGATGAAGGGAGACAAAATGAATCGTCACGACCAGACACATGATCAAATTGTATCGTGCTGCTTTAATCAGAGATCTATTTGGATGCAAATTATTTAACTAAAGTTTAAACTTCAAGGTTAAATATAGTCAAATTCATTTACTTAAGCTAAGGCTGATAGATATAAAGGAAGCGCGCGGACTGGTGGCTGGCTAGGCCAACTGCAATAACACAAGTGAAGATGAAGGCGAGACAAGCAGAAGTCGGCTACGCCACTGTATGTGGTCACGTCATATGTACAGGGGTTCTATCGTTTTAGACATATACAGTTTCGCTCCAATTTTTTGCGATGTACATATAATTAGGCTTGCTTTTTTAATACTTTTTTTGCAGGTCGTAACGAAGGCACACTCGTGTATGATGATTGATTTATGAAAACCGCTGAGTCAGAGTATTGGGGTAACTTAAATAATCATTTGCAAGTTTAACTAAGCTTAGATAGCTCATTGACTAGCGCAGGACATGCACGTATTCGTAGGCATTTATATTATTTTGTTCCATTGTCTATAGATCTGAGTATACACTCCTTCTATGACGTATGTGACCGCTGCATGACTGAGTATGTCACAGCTGCTTCGATTGAGGATGCACTGCTGCTGTGACTGAGTGGAAAGCGATATTTGTAGAGTGCATTGGAAATAAGGGAGAAGAGATTGGCGAGAATGGAGGGTGGAAGGGCATAAGGAAAAAAGCTATGACATTATAAGTATAACTGTATCACTAGAAATTTAATAGAGCACAAATAATCATTTAGGGTTTATGAGGTCCCATATCATATATGGGCATATCTAATATAAATATAAACTGTACAGTGCAATAAATGCGATATAGCAATAATAAACCAAATAGATTTCCTCTTGAACTTCTCTTCCCCTTCTTTTTCATCTCACCCTTAACACGAACTTTCACACCCCTCTAGCCTCTGCTTTAATATCGCTTCTACCTGACTTGGTTGCCCTTTCCTCTCTTACTAACAAAACGAACAAGCGATGCGTGTGAAACCGGAAACACCGCCGCGAAGTCGAAATAATTATGGATAGCTTGCCTACTTGACGGTGACTTCCGTATTGGCTTTAACACAAGGGCAAAAGAGTCGTTCTTTGGTCCGGCTCTAAATTCCCTTGCGTTGGAGTGGAGGAATAAACACGAGGAACTTTTCGTAGTATCTTGGTGATCTTCTGGCAATACCCAAATTCCACTGTACAAGGCACACAATTTACTATTCGCTATACGTCCAAAAGCTCCGGAAGATATAATCTCAACTTCGGGGATATAACGTGGTGAGACCTAATAAACTGTCGAGGACCACAAAAGCGGATAGCAATGATACAGGTACGAGCTGCACCACGATGCCGACAGCCTCACAGGAACGGATGACAAGAGTACATGTACGAACTGCACCACGATGCTGACAACCAATGCAATGATCAGGGGTTCGAGCCCTAATGCACTGCCAAGAACACAGAAACGGGGTGGTAGTTACGCCTTAAAATCACGACTATCGAGGGGTACGAGCCTCAATAAGACGTTGACAATTTACTCGAGCCCAGGCATTATTAGCCTTTACGACATGAAGGTGCGAACGGAACGGCTAATAACCGCCCAAAGGAGCCAGAAACTGGAACTAGCTAAGAATTACACCTACGCCGTTATTATTCCGTTACAGGTTCTCTTTACAAGTTATCTCCAGAACTACGCTGGAGTTTATTCATAGACGCCTAGATCTGGCTCCCTGAATACGAGTCAAAACCGTTGCACCCCAGCCCAACGAGATGAAATTGTGCGTGCTCAGTGGTTCTGAGCACACACAATTTCCACTTGCCCGCAAGAGGTAACTCCGCTAAAATAATGTCAACTCGAAACCTCGTTTATAAGGAGCACAAAACAGCCTGTTAACACTCTCTAAGTGCAAACAAATAGAGAATATAATACAATAGAATAAAGTCATCATAATTTTAATCATTTTGCAAACTAATCACAAGTTAATAGTAAAAAAATCCTAAACTAATTCTAAAGATACCGAAGTCTCCATCGTCCAAGACTACCTAGAGCAGGGGTCTCCAAACTTTTTTCACCAAGGGCCAAGATCAAGCTTACTGAAACCTTCGCGGGCCGGAGATGTTCGTGGGCGGAGAGGAGGGCAGCACAAATTACGAATAAAATGCGATAGTCAAAATTAGCGCACGAATAACTATTTTATTCTGCACTTCGTCTTACGGAACAACTGTACACAATTTTTCATCGCTTATTCTTCGCATAATCTTAAATCCTTATCATTAATTGGCGTGAAAAGCACGGCTCCAAAATACAGAGGGGACATAATTATTATGGCTATAATTATTAGAGTGTAATCTTAAAAAATATTCAACGTGAAACAGCATTAATGAGAAGCATTGAATTGTTTCTTTTCATACAAAATCCCATTGAGTTCAGGATCAAAATTACTGCTTCCTATCATCAAAATTTATTGTAAATGTTCGTCGGATAAAGCTGCCCTGTAGCTAGACTTGACATACTTCATCTTAGCAAATGTTTGTTCACAAAAATAGGTTGTGCCAAAAACGGAAATAAAACCACAAGCAAAGGCTTGTAGATGAGCATATTCATCGCTTTGCGGACACTCGTAAAAGTCGGTCACTTTACCTTCTCTGAATCTGTCCTTCTACGCGTCATTGGCTTGCAGATCAATTACTCAATTCCTATTGAAGTTCAGATGGCAAATCTTCGATAGCACAATCAAATGCATTTTGGAAAATTTTTAATTGCTGCAGATGCGTAACGTTCGTGGCATTGCTGTTTCAGATTGCAAATAATGTCTTCTGCAAGTCTTCTTGCGAATGAAGATTGAGTTTCTCGCTCAAACTTTTCACAACATGGAAAGTGTTTGAAACAGTTCCTCATTAACTGGGTCTCAACCGAAATAAAATAACGTTTGTCGAAACGCCTTAACTTGGGTATACATGTTGCAAATGAGAACTGTTTTGTCCTCCAATTTCCAATGAGTAGTGGCTGGGGCCGATTCATTCCATTCAGAAAAATGTCAATTTCTGCTCGGAGTTCAAAAAAATCGTGACAACACCTTGCCACAGGTAAGCAAGTTCCATCACAGAAGATAAATCCATATATTGGCCACACAGTGCCTGCTTGTGAATAATGCCGTGAAAAACCAAACGCTTGGGACAGCCCGCAATTGCAGCAGCTTTGTAAATTTGCCCAACTAACCCTTTTCCAGAGCCGCACATGATTCTTCCACCATCGGCTGTGACGCACTTGAACAGTTTCCACTCGAGGCAGTAATGTAGGAGAGATTTCTCGATTTCTTCGAAAATTTCTTCGCCTGTTGTACCATGCATGTCGTGCACAGAGGCCAGCTCTTCAATCAATTCAAAATCTTTGCTGACCCCATGAACAAACAGCAACTGCGAGGTAGAAGTGACATCAGTTGATTCATCAAGCGCGAGAGAAAAGTACTTGCATTATCTGGTCTCTTCTTCGAGTTGAGACACTATATTTATTCCAATATCTTCAACTCGACAGGCAACTGTATTTGCCGAAGGGCTAATAGTTTTAGGCAAGTCTACTTTTTCCGGACAGAGTTCGTTGGCTGCTTCAATGATGCATAATTCAATTAACTCACCATCGGCAAAGGGCTTTCCTCGCTTTGCCAAAAGATGTGACACACGGAAACTTGCTCTTGTTGCAGCGTCATTCTCGACGTTCTTTTTTTCGAACAAAAATTGTTGCGCTGCCAAGTTGTGTCTCGGAGCTTTCAGCATGCCTGTAAGAAGCTTTCCTTTGAGTTGCGAATAGTTTGATGAGTGTTTTGTATCATAATGCCTCCGAATGCTGCACTCTTTCAGCTCTGCAATACTATCGTTGCATATTAATCATAATGCTATGTTGCCAATTCATCAGACTCGATAAAAAAGTAGTATGCACCCCTCTTTTCCTTGAATTCACGGAATTCAGTGTCCACATTTCTCTTTTTACCTGGTCCCGACATTATCACCTGAAACGCTTCCAAACTTGGGTTCACACTGGCAAGCAGGACGATAATGTTCTCCTCAATCAAAGGGTCTTGGGTGGTTCATGGCAACATTTGTGAATAATTTATCAAATTTTAGAGACAACAGTCACGCATTTTTACTGTTTTTTAGTTCATGCTTAACCACAAATAAGCGCCACGCTCGATTTTTGTACACATTATGTTGAAATACGAGATATCCTCGGCGGGCCGGATGGAACCTAACCGAGGGCCGGATCCGGCCCGCGGGCCGTAGTTTGGAGACCCCTGACCTAGAGGAATAAACGTGCACCGTCGCGAGGCTAGGAGCAACCCGACCAATCACGTTGAAGCTACAACATTCAGTCTCATTTCAAGACGCTAACAACTAAATCCTATGAATTAACAAAATAATATCACAGTTAAACGAGATTCCATATTACAGCCACGAAATATAAATAAGTTTACGCATTACTTAGTCATACATAAATTAAATCCATGAGTTAACAAAATAATATCACAGTTAAATGAGATTCCATATTTCAGTCATAAAATAAATTTTGCCAATAATTGACTATATAGTCACTAATCTAAGCACAAGATCATCATTAATAGAACGTATAGTTAAACCCAATACTTCCTAGAAACAAAAAAAAATATCACGAAATATGCATCCCGTCAAACGTGGCTGATGCCCGTTGTAAATGTCTGACTCCGGAATATCCTGTTTCAAAGTCACCACGCCCGAAATCCAAATCCTACAATCAAGTAACATGCGAAACCGCAAGGATAAACTTAATTAATCTGCAACAGCGAAATGAGAAGACTTATAAAATCTATAACCGGAATCAAAGATAACTCGAAATGACAACACGACCCCATCCTTTACAAGAGAAATCGGTCAATCAACCAATAAAACGCGTAGGGGCAAGACAACTGGAGAAGGACAACACCCGTACGGCACTGTTATGATTCATCAAGTGCGGATGATGACAAATGTGGATCCGGCATTGAATATTAATTTCACTTCCATTAAGTCCATTCTGCTTGATTCATCAATAAAAAATGATCCATTTACTCTAATAATCAACACTATCAAACTTCAAAAATTAAAAATTAATTGCACAAAAAATTACAAAAATGTATGTGTCTTCATTCAGTGACCAATGGTTGCCATAAATACGGGAACCAAACAAAATTTCAAATAGACGCTAACATTGTTGTGACCGCGACATGATAGAATCGCTTTTCTGTTTTCATTACTTACTTTGCGTTTCATTCTGTATATATATTTACCATAGCTGTATTGAATAATTAGTTCAGAGTGAACTGAACAGATGGTTCTTGTTGTAACGGTTGGAAACTTGGAAGTAGGGTAGGGGTTAGTAAGAGACAGGCGGTCACATGTGAAAGTTCTCAAGTTTATGCTCCTCGAAAAAATCAGTGTATTCATTATCCTTCGCGTACTACCAAAACTATAAAAAATTTATTTTGATTCATTCCGATGAATGGTGTACAAAATTAAAACAAATTTTCCTCTGCGGTGTTGTATTTTGAACATAGCTCGATACAATCGGGACGATACGTTGTGCTAATCTTCGGCCATTTTTATTGCTTGAGAAGTTACTGAAGATTTATGATATCATCGATCGTGAAGACATTGGAACTGGTAGGGCGTCCCTCTTCACTTGACAGGTGTGAAGATGTACTTTCGTATGGTGATGAGGGTATGATAGTGATAGGTGCATGTGGCGGCAAGGTTTCCAGCTTTTCTTTGGTGATAAGGCTCTGGAATTTTTCTTTCAATATCGTATAGTTTCTGACCGGGAGTGCTCTCATTTCATTAGCAATATGTTGGCCATATACATCGTATTCATCCAATACTTTTTGTGAAGTCGATGGTCTACTCGAAGAAATTTGTTGGAGTTTTTCTATTGCACTTTGAACTTTCGAAAATTTTGAAATCCGTGCCTTTTTTGCAATTGGCGTGGCATTTTTCGTACTCTCGTCAATTGGGAGGCTATCATCATCGAGATATGGAGTACTTGTTCTTCACTTTCATGTAAGACAATGATTGCTTCTTGTTGAACCTCATCATCATCTTGATCTTCTGCAGGGCAGCACTTCTGAAACAAACCAAAAGTCATCTTATATTACAATTTGTAAATGTTTACACTATGTTCTCAGCTTTCAATCTAGCTCGTTCCAAAATTATTATAATAGTTTTCTTTTTGCAGGTTCCCCAGACTTCGGAGGAGTGGAGGCAAATACAGAAAAGCTTCGAGATCAAATGGAATTTCCCAAGTTGCTGTGGTGCACTGGATGGTAAACATATAGCCATCAAACGCCCACCTGGAAGTTGTGCTGAATTCTACAACTACAAGGGAGGTTACAGCATAATACTGCGGCTTTGACTGATGCCGATTGCAAGTTCCTCAACAAGTGATGCACCCTTGCAAGTGATGTGGGTGCAAATGGACGGGCTAACGATGGAAGCGTGTTTCGATCGTCTACTTTGAAATCAGCCATTGACAAAAACAGCCTGAATTTGCCTCCTGAACACATTATCGTAGCAGATGATGCCTTTCCCCTGTCAACAAATCTGATGAAGCCCTTCTCAAGAAGAAACTTGTCCGTAGAAGAACGAATATTCAACTACCGTTTATCAAGAGCTAGACGAGTTGTTGAGAACGCGTTTGGCATATTAGCAGCAAGATTTCGAGTATTTCGAAAAGAAATCGAAGTTGACGTACGCACAGTTGATTTAATTGTGCAAGCTGCATGCACTATTCACAACTGGTTGCGTACAGTATCGCCAGTTACATACTTTGAAAGAGGATGGGCTGATTTTGAAGACACTGAAACAGGTGTGTTACATCCAGGCCTATGGCGCACAACTGCTATCGAGCTACCATCCCTAAGAAGTGTTCGTGCAGTGAACGCCCACTCCAAAAAAGCAGCAGAAAGGAGAAATGAACTGGCTGCTTACTTCAATACAGAGGGGCAAGTTCCGTGGCAAATGAAGGCAATCGGAATGTAACTGTAATTAAAAATAATTGAAAAATGTTAATTATCATGTTCCATACATGTGCCCGACGGTTCGTCTCGTGTAGGTACCTACTTATATGAAATGTACGGTATGCAAAAATATATCCGTTCACATTTGAGAACATGTACAAACTGATTACGCCCAATAGCTCCTACACCAATGATTTAAGCCTATAAGCCATACCATCACTTCTTTCAAATGCCGTAAGCCACAGGCCCGCAGACTGCCGTAAATGGGAACGGCCCCGCACCGGACTGTCGCATCACCTTACCCACTTCGCAGGCGTAAGCCCAGCCCTGACGCTCACCAGCATCTTCTTCCTCCACACTTACCCCCTTCTCTCCACCTTTCCGCGAAAGGGTTAGGTTAGGTTTGGATAGAATTCTTCCGCAAGCTGGTACCGAAAGGAGGGGGAGCAGGGGGTAAGCGTGGAGGTTTAGCCTCCTGAAGAACGGACAGGCTGGAGAGGTAGCAGTGTACTGATAGCACTGTGGCGCAGAGCGTTCTTTATCGAAAGTGGGGAAGGGGCTAGGCTGCATGGAATAGAAATATTTTGGGGTTTAGCGTGTGGGTTACGACCATTGTTTTGGCGGCTTGCAGCTCATTGGCTTGCTGGTTTACATCCATGAAGGGGTTTGGTCCCTGTGTCTTTCAGCAAGTAACCATGTTGGCTAATTTACTCTGCAGCATGCTTGCGCACGGGGAGAAGTATGAAAATTATGCTGGTATTGGGCAATGCTAGGCTATTTCAGTCGTCCCGGGGAATTACACGCGGCATGTTCAATGTTAACGCCAGTTGAGTTCAATAATCTTGTAGTCCAATGGACTTCGATGTGTTCATCTGGATGAGCTTCCGATGTTTTCCCCTAATATCGCTAATTTTTTCTTGCGCTTAAGGTCGATCGTTCACACGTCGTTCGAAATTCTAAGAGTTGATCTGAAATCGCTTTCGGAGAAGCGGCACGATGATTTTGACCAGTCACGCTGCATAAATCATTTGGTCATTGATTGGTATTGACGTTAATATAGTACAGAGTCCCGCATTGAGCATGGTTAGGGCAGTGCTCACGGTTGCTGTGACATTAGTCGGATGCTAGATAGTTATCTATAGCTGCGTCTCCCCCATCGCTGAAAAGCGCAAATCTCTCGCCAAGATTTTATCGTATGACAATGCACCTCGAATATTTAAATTCTGCTGCAGTAAATAGTGGTCACACGAACAAATCGTCGATAGCGGTTTGGGGAATTGAATGAACGCTCACATCCCGTACATTTCCTGGGCGCTTGGCCCCATGTACTGAAAACCTTGAGTCGCCTCTGCTCTCGGGCGTGCTAGTGCAGGCTTCGGGCGGTAGGAGTGCTTTCAAATAAATACCAACTTGATGGGTTCTCCCAACCTTCAGCAACTTCTTAAATTTCTGTTCCGATTGCTGGCTTGTAGGTTTAAACCTCTTTTTTAGAAACTCTATTACCTCTAAATTCTAATTGAGATTCCTGATGGGGATGATTGAGTGGTGAACAGCTGTCATAGGGTGCGTTTAGCAGATGAAGCAAATGGTAAACCAACAATTTGGCACTGTTTGATCACATTATACTGATTTATTTGTATATTTTTACTCGTTGGATGAAATGAGTCCCCGTAGTCCACTCGGAATAGGCCCAGGATCGTCGGCCCACACGTGAACTGATTTGACAAAAATCGGTCACAGGTCAACACCATCCAGCCGATTGTATTGATCCATCGTATCGTATCAGCCAACAATCGAACGGCCACTCGTCGAAGCAAGCTTGATTTTGGAACTAAGCTTGGTTTAAGCAAAGTTTAGTCTAAACTCAGCTGCTGCGAGCTAAAAGTTACGAAAACTATACAACGTGGCGGAAGTCTTGTTAGACCCGTGGTCTGGTAGTAAAAGGCAGGTTCCGTGTAACTGCCAGGGAAAGCTTAGCTGATTGATCGCAGAACGTCGTGCACCAATTAGTTAGAGCGCTAGCAAGG